TCATTGCAAAGGCAAGGAAGGTCATATAGGGGCCTTAATAATTAGAATAGGTTTGGTGGTATAGTATATTACAATTGTAAGAAGGAACCCTAAAACCCTATTCTAACTATTAAGGCCCCTACCTTAAGAGAGACGAGGTGGTGACGATGATGATGATGATGATGATGATGATGATGACGATGATGATGATGATGAAAATGGTTGAACTGGCCAGCCATGTTGACTTTGTATGGACACCTGGTCAGACTGACCGACCGATACATATCTGTATATATGTATGTGTGTATCACTCTATCTAATCTAATCTAATCTCACCCTATCTATCTATCTATCTACCTACCTATCTAACCCTTGGACCCCAAGAAACAGTATGGTGAAGTCTCGAGGAGCTGAGCACAAGGGCCAGGTATTTGGCCAACAGGCGGGTGGGCTGGGTTTAGAGCTTAGGGTACAGGCTCGGTTGAGGGACAGGATTAGAGTTTAGGGTTTTAGGGTTAGGGTTTTGTTGTAGGGTTTGCGGTTTAGGGTTTAGGGTTTTGCTTTAGGGTTTAGAGTTTAGGGGCTTTGTTGAGGGTTTCGGGCTTCGGGTTTTGTTTTAGGGTTTAGGGTTTTGCTTTAGGGTGGGTGGGTGGGTGGGGGGTTGGAGGTTGTCCGGCCGAGCTGCCCACATTTATCCTCACACCCCGCGCGTCCTTGCAAGCCCCAAGCAAGCTAACGAAGGCTCAACCGGAGGCCTAAAAGAGCTGGGCCCTAAACCCGAAACGTCCCATAAGCCCACAGCCCTGAGCCTCAGAAGTCCGATATTGGGGGTTCCCGAAAATAGGGGAGCCTAATATAGTACCCTAAATAATAGGATCCTTACTATAAGGACCCCCAAATAAGGTACCCCCCCTATTTTCGGAAAGTCTCATATTCCTCTTCATCTTCAGCTGACTCGGCACCCGAACTGCTTGCAGGGTGGGTGCCAAGCTTCTTCTCGGACCCTACGGAGACGAGGCTTTCGAGACAGTGGTGGCCTGGCAGTTGATCTTGAAGGGTTCCTATAAGGGTACCTTTAAGGATACCTTTGAGGGTACCTTCAAGGGTTCCTTGAAGGGTATCTCGAAGGGGTTTTCGAAATTCCGGGAGGTTTAGCTTTGACCCTACACCCTGAAGCTTCGACCCTAAACTGTTTTGGCTCGGGGAGTTTCCTGGTGGGATTCGGGCAGTTTTCGGCTTGACATCGCTAGCTTTGAGTCGGTTTAGGGTTTAGGATTTAGGGTTTTGAGTGATGATGCGTGCCCCTTTGGCGACCGCCGCGACAAGAATCCTTGAGAAGGGGCGTGAAACTGGTCTTCCACCTTCAACAGCCCTGAACCCAAATGCATCTAAGCCCAAGAAAGCACGAGCGAACTCCAGAAAGCGCTGGGGAATTCCAGAAAACCACGGGATTCATGAGCCATGCTATTTCTTAGAGGTGTTCGCTAACGTCTAGCACTCACCAAAACTTTCGGAAATCCAGCCCTGGACGTGAAGATTCGAAAGGAACCCCTAAACCTCAAACCCTAAACCCTAAACCCTAAATCCACCAGAATCCTAAATCAGAACTTCGGAGCTTCAGCTCAGCTCCCAAAAGCCTAAGACCCTGCAAGAAAGCCGTAAACTTTCAGGCGGAGTTTAGGGCTGAGGGTTTAGGGCTTCAGGGGTTTAGGGTTTAGGGCTTAGGGTTGGGGGTGAGTTTATGGCATATGATCAATACATGAAGCTCTGAACCCAATCCCTAGTTTAAGGGAGATCCCCAACATGTAGACGTACAGAAGTACAGTTCCCCCTTTAGAAGCCGAGGCGGACGTTGCTGACCAGTCTCAGGCCGTGGACCCAGAAGTAGGTCAGGAGCCGGTTTTGGGTTTAGGGACCGTTTCTTCCAACAAGGACGATAAGAGAGATCCCCATATTAGGGCTTCTGAAAGAAGGGAGTTTGTGAATCAGGGGTCTACAGTATGGGCCTTCAAAGAGCCTTCGCGGTTAGCAGGGCTCAAGCTTTGGACTTGGGGTCGGGGGTTCTGTTGGAGCACCTCAGGTACCGGCCCTAAGAAACCCTAAACCCTAAACGGCTTAAACCCTTTATACAGTATTGAGGATAGCGCCCCAGGATTCTGCCCCTCAGCAGCAGAATAGAAGCAGGGGGGCCTTAAACTGCCTTGGGGTGTAACCCTAAACCCCGGACCCTGTGAAGCTTGATAGGCGTTTGCAGGATTCTGTAGTGTCATAGCAGGGTTTCGGAGGACTTCAAGAGTTTTTTGGTACTGGCCGTGGACCCAGGTTTTCCCAAATCTTCAGCGTGCTGTCGGATAGAAGCATCATATAGACTTTGAACTTCGGGGTACAGTTTCAGTTTCGGCTTAGTGATCTACTGAGGGTTAATCCGCCCAACATCGAACGCACTTCCCAGCTGCCTGGATTCTTCAGCGCAGGACCCCACGATCCCCTGAAAGCCTGATGCATGTAACCATACATCCCACGTCAAAAAGCCCCATAAACAGCCGTTGTACCCTAAACCCTAAACCCTAAACCCTAAACCCTAAACCCTAAACCCTAAACCCTAAACCCTAAACCCTAAACCCTAAACCCTAAACCCTAAACCCAACACCAACGGCCGCAAGACCCCAGCGGCCGGTGACTGAAATCCCTCACCCAGAGACTCCAATATCCCTTCATTAGGGAATATACTTTAAATTATAGTAGGATCCCCAATATGATTTAAGGTATATTCCTTAATTAAGGGGCATTGGAGTCTCTGGGCACCCTGGACCAGCCTTTCCTTGCACCGAGGCAGTCCTCGTTGGTCCCATTGCCAAGGCAAGACTCGCAGCTTCCTGAAGCCCTAAACCCTAAACCCTAAACCCTAAACCCTAAACCCTAAACCCTAAGCCCTAAACCCTAAACCCTAACCCTAAACCGCTAACTGGAGTTCCCTAGCCCAAACTCCATTGAGGGTCTAGGTGCCCAAGGCTCCTGGTGGTTTTACAGGTCTTTTCAGGGTTCCTTCAAGGGTTCTTATAAAGGTTCTACAAGGCCTGCTTGCGGGCTTCTGGAAGGCTTTGTAGAGCCACGTGACTTTGGCTTGTCCATGCACATTGCAGATTGCCTTCCAGGTACGACGTGGCCAAACCCCAAACCCTAAACCCTAAACTCTAAACCCAAAAACCCGAAGCCGACTTGCGAGAAGAGGTGACCATGACTAAGTTACAGCTGCTCGTGACGAGCTGGGCTCAGACGACCGGGAAGGTTTCGAAGAGCATCCTTGGCGCCGACCGCGTGTACCAGCGCGGCAGGGGTCAGCGCGTGCGAGGCGAGCAATGTCTGGGGAAGATCAAGGAATGGTTCCCCAGACGGTTCATCTGCTTGTTGGACGCAGCTCACTTGCAGTTGCAGCACGTACTGTCCTGTCGCAGACTGAAGCTTGGGAATATCAAGAACGTTCAGAAGAAGACTTCGCCCCTGCCGAAGTTCTCCTCAATACGCAGCGGCCCAATGTGCAGAAGCTGGTCGCCCAAGCCTTGCAGAGGTGGGAGTGAGAGTACGATTAATGTAGATGTTAACCTTAGCCACGTCAGGTTTTCTGAGTTTCAGGCTGACCCGCCATCCCAAATCCGAAGGCCTTGCCATAAGCCGGAGGCTTATGGCCCTAAACCCTAAACCCTAAACCCTAAACCCTAAACCCTAAACCCTAAACCCTAAACCCTAAACCCTAAACCGTAACCCAAAGCCTAAATCCTAAGGCCAACATCCTGGACACCCTGAGCCTCAAACCCAACCTGAAACCCGGAAACGCCACCCCAACCCCAAATCCCCGGGCGTTTGGTAGTGTAGGGGCCCAAATAATGACCAATACTATTTTGGGGGTCCTTACCTTATTATACGTATAGTATAATGGGCCCCAAAACCCTATTCTAATTGTTAAGGCCCGTATAGTAAACACCTAAACCCTCAACGCTAAACCCTAAACTACCTTATTCTAATTATCAAGGCCTCCATAGTAAACCCCTGAATCATTGGGTAATTATTTAGGCCCCTACATTAGGGTTTCGGATTAAGGGGATAGAGTTTAGGGTTTAGAGTCGGGGGATTAGGGATTAGTCTTTGGGATTCGGATTCGGGTTTAGGGATTGGGTTGAGGGATATTAGGGTCTTAGGGTGGGGTCTTCAGTGGTTGCATGGCTTCCTTTCAAAAGGCGGCTCTGCAATGAGCAAGGCAGCCCGTAGCAAGGCCTGTCCGCAGGCTTAAGAAAGGGGCCTCAACAATTACCTGTACCTATTCTATTGTGGGGTTCCTGATTATGATTATAGTATAGTACACACCAACACCGTATTCTAATTATTCAGACCCGTAACCCGAAACTCTAATAGTATCCCTTATAGAGCCCTTCGAGGAACCCTTTAAAAGTTCATGAAGGCCCCTACATTAGCAGGACAGCTCTGGCGCGGCAGCTTCAGCTCCGCTAAGTGTGTCTAGAGAACCTCCGCCCCAAAACGTGAACTCCCAACCTGCTGAGTTTGAGGTGCAGGATTCTGTGCTCTTAACCTTAAATATTGAACCCTAAACCCTAAACCCTAAACCCTAAACCTTAAACCCTAAACCGAGCCCTACAAACCTGAACATCAACAAGCCCGAAGCTCGAAGCTCTAGGCTTTGCGGTTTCTTAGGCCCAGCAGCCATGCCTCTTCAGCCGCCCAAACTCCAAAGAGCCCTAAACCCTACCCCCGAAAGACCTCAACCCTTATAAAACCCTAAACCCTAAATAGAAACCCTAAATCCTAAACCTTAAAATCCCTAAAACCCTAAATGCCAGGGGGACGATGCCGTGATGGGGCGACCCAACGCCTTCAGCATGTCCAGTGGGGGTCCAAACTTGCGGTGTGCAGCGTGAGGACTTCGTCTTGCACAGTGCACCACAAGACCTATATGAAGTAAAGCGAACTCAGCTTAGTTGCATGCTGCAGCTCACATTTCTCAAGAGGCAAAGATCCAGGAATTGATGGACTACCGCAGGGTGGTCAACAAATTCCAGTTATATGCGCTGGTCGTTCAATTCGGCATGCTGGTGTCGCTTTTGGCTTTTGCGGTGCACCGCATCTGGGAAATTGTTCAAAATGCAGACTCTCCGCCCATGAAGGTCACTACGTCGCACTGGCAAGGTCTAGGAAAGTGGGCACTGTGTCCTTACACGCACCAGAAAGTTGAGTGGGCAGGGCTGGGCTTCTATTATCGACACGAAGGCTGGGAAAGATGGATGCCTTACAGTTACAAGAAAATTAATGAAACCAATGTTGAGGTTGAGACATACTTGAGTATGGATTCCCACACAATGGCCAACTCGCACATGCTCACAGATAGAATTCCAATTGAGATGTTTGACGGGGCGTTGCTTAGCTGCTCGGTAATCGATTTGACGGATGTGCAAGCCAAGCCTCCGATGAGCTTCAGCATCTGTTCCGACACAGAGCGCTTCTTGATGCTGCACAACAACAATGGCTGGGATGTAGCATTTCATTTAGCAACGGGCCAGAACTACTGGACCTTGAAGCTGTCAGAATACATACACGGGCATGACACTGGGTTTTCAACATCTACACAACTCTTCCACACGGCCTCGACTCTGTTGTCCAGTCCGGGTGAGAACATACCACAGCTGAACAAGCTTTGCGCGTGGAAGCGGTTTGACTCTGCCGCATCGTCGGCATCAGAGGCTGAAGGACCTGATCGTACATATGCCTACCGCATCATGGTGACCGATACATCGATCCCGGTCACCATAGTTCAGGGCATTGTGGCGCAGCTTTTCAGTTTGATGAGCAGTTTGGGGGGGTACTTTGCCACACTGTCCACAGTCTTTACATTCGTCTTCGTCAGGCAGTACCCGGAAAGCAGAATTGCGCGTATGTATGAGCGGCGCACAATCCGCGGACAGGAACTACCTGGCGACCCGCCGAGCGATGAAGAGGGCGGAGCGTCCCCATCCGAACCAAGACGGCCCAATGCGCCACAAAGTGAAGTCATGGGCTTGGTGCACGCGCAGCGCCAGGAAGAAGCGAGAGCAAAACCTGGCCTGCCTGCCCTGCCGCCTGGAATAGTGTATCCAGGTCCTCACGCAACAGAGTAGACGGATGTTGAAGGCATCGGCAATAACGTCTCACACATGCTGTATCACACATTGACGCAGTGGCACAACAAAGAGCCTCAGCGAAATGTTCCACTTTCCTGCTTTTGCAGTTTGAAGTAGGGACACCGCACGTAACACACAGCTCAATTATGGCAATTCTCCGTGGTTTAATCATCGAATGTGAGACTTGGGAACTAGGTCAGAAGTGTTCCGAATATGATAACCCCCAAAGTCTGGAAAACCAATGAATCCAGAAGTTAAATAAACAAATCTCGATGTTGGACCTCCCAAAGACACAATTAAATCTGGTTTTAATGGCTTGTCAATGCGTTTGGCCAAGAAACAGCTAAATCAGGAGTTTACTGTCACGCTGCATACCAGCAGAATTTGCTCTTGGGTTCATTGCCTTCAATCTAAACTCTTATAGTCGCCCTTAGAGTAACGCGTGTAGTAGCCTTGTAAGGGAACTTTCACAGTAACCTCTGAGGAAACCACTTGAAAGGACCCCTTTTGGTTCTGGTAACCCCGTAGGAACCCTTCGTGTAACCCCATTCTTTTCCGAAGTCGCCGATTGTCACGTAGGGTTTTCGTGTTTTAATCTTGAGACGTCTGAAATAAACAAGCTCCCTTTTTCCTTGAACTTCAGAGCACAGCGGTTGATGCGGACTCTTGCTACCTATAGCCCCATGAGAGTCTGTATTTGCTTGCACACTGATATGTCCCAAAATCCTCGTCTAATCTTGAAGTCCCCCGAATTAGGCTGTTGGAGCTTAGGCTCCGCAGGACTCGGCCCCCACAGTGGCCCCTGTCGCTGTACTTCAGTGCATGCACAGAAAGCCGCACAGCCTTGTTTTAGGGTTTCGGGTGCAGGGGTTCGAAGGGGTTACTACTCAGAGGGATTACTAAAAGGGTTTAATATGCGGGCCTTGTTCCAGTTGTCTTGGTTATCTAGGAAGAGCCTTGCGGCGCAACCCGTCCACCAAGCCCAAACGTGCTCGTCTCCGGGTACAGGTTGCCTCTTGTGCCTTGTTCTTCCGCGGATGTCCTGTTCAAGTGTACATGGTAAACCCTCCTTAGCCCTAAACCCCCCTAAACCCAAAACGCCTATGTACTCGTACCGTAAACCCCTCTAAACCCAAAGCCCTCATAAACCCAAGACCCTGAGCCATCTACCCTAAACCCTAAACCCTAAACCCTAAACCCTAAACCCTAAACCCTAAACTGCAGTCACCGACTTGGGAAGGCGAACATGGGGTCAGAAGCCGGCAGGGAACGGTGGATCTACGAGTCGTGCAGCAGGTCCTACTCGAGCAGGTTACACTTACCCTAAACCCTAAACCCTAAACCCTAAACCCTAAACCCTAAACCCTAAACCCTAAACCCTAAACCCATTCCCGCTGCACCCAACAGGCTGAAACAGCAGGCTGGAAGAACATGCCTTTTGGCTTTGTGGCCCTTTTTGGAGGGCGAGCTGTCCGTGCGAGCAGCATATTAGCTTAAGCTTAGTTCCGTCATGCTGCAGAGAGGAGATAGGTGAGTCTTTATTCACGAGTTGGGTCGATCGGGATGTCGCGTTTTTGCCTAACCGGCTGCCCATCGTGCAACAGACTCAGCTGAATCGAGTGGCAAGACTGAGGGGAATGTAAGGAGGGAACGAGAACTGGATGCAATATGTGGGTCGGAATACTTAGCAAGAGGATCCCGTATAATCCAGAGTATAAGTATAGTCTAGTGTACCTCAACACTCTATTCTAATTATACTCTAAATAGTAAAGCCCCTAATGTTGTTGTTAGTTTGCTGCTGAAACCCTAAACCCTAAGCCCTAAACCATAAACCGATGCCCGAGGCCGGTACGACGAGTTTCTGCTTCCGGCCTTCCAGCAGATTGCGCAGCATGTGTCGGCCTCCCGAAGTTCCGTCTGTTTGGGGGCTTCGCGGGTTCGGGGCTTTGGCGTAAGACCCCAAACCACGGACCCCAAATCCTAAAGACTTAAGGAGAAGGGTTTGGGGTTCAGGATTTTTTGGGGCTCAGGTTCGCAGTTGGTTCAGGTCTCTGGTCCGACCTCGTGGCTTCGGGTTTCGGGCGTTTGGGGCGTTTCGGATTTACAGGTTGGGCTTAGGATTCCGTGTCTGCCTGTGAGCAGACTTTCCTATTCTCTTGCCATAGTGGCAGTGATTGCGCTCGTGATGAGGATGATGGTGATGGTGATGATGATGGTGTTGATGATGATGGTGACGACGATTCTGGTGGCGAATGCGAAAGTGATGTTGATGTTCATGTTGATGGCGCCTGAGTCAACTGCTAGGGTGCTGCCCCTGCATGTGATGGTGTGGTGCATGACCACCCTACATCGGAAACCCTAAACCCTAAACCGTGAAAAACATTCAACAACAAAGGCAGGCGAAAGACGCAGGTTGGGGATGCAGGCCCCTACTGAAAGCCCACCTTCCCTTGTTGGTATACTGGGCCCCTTGAGAGCTTAAACAGGTAATGTAGGGGCCTGAATAATTAGAATGGGGCTTGAGGGTATATTACATTATCATTATAATAAGGAGCCCCCAAAATAGCGTTGGCAATTATTCAGGTCCCTTTGCTAAGCCGTACACATATCTACGAAACCGTACACATAGGCCTTCAGACCGTCAAGACTTCACAGACCCTACGCAATCCGACGACACTAGAAATCCGATTCCTCCCCTAAACCCTAAACCCTAAACCCTAAACCCTAAACCCTAAACCCTAAACCCTAACACACCCGAAAGTCTTACCTCGATGAACCTTGAACACCGAATAGAGCCCGGTCATAGAACCCTATTCTGGAACCCTTCAATAACCTTCTTGTGGAGCTCCTATAGAACCCTTAAAGAGTTCTAGTACAGAGCTCCATTGGTGAGCCCTGACAGCCGTCCTGTAGAACCCCCCCCCCCCCAGTAGAAGCATTCATTCCATTTTCAGAATAAAGTACCCCAGTACAGATAAACCCTTAACCCATAAACCCGAAACCGTGAACCCTAAACCCGAAACCCGAAGCCCTAAACCCCAAACCAACCCTGAACCCTAAACCCTTCACCCTAAACCCTTAAGCCCCAAACCCACCCCGCTTTTATGAAAGCCCTAAGGCGAGCCACCGTCAGCGTCATCGGGCCGAGCCAAGAGCGAGCCGACTTCCTCGGCTTGGAGATGAAGCACAGGACTTTGTTTTTTTTTCACGGTTTGGGGTTTAGGGGTTTAGGGGTTTAGGGGTTTACGGTTTAGGGTTTAGGGGTCAGGTTTTAGGGTTTAAGGGTTTAGGGTTTAGGGGTTCGGCTCATTGGTCTAGACTTTGCGGGTGCGAACAGACCCGTGAGCCCCGTACTTGTCGAATTCTACCCTTTTTCGAGCCCTGATAGAAGCACAATGGAGCCCAAAACACCACAACGGCAAAAGAAGCCTAGTAGAATTAGCATTACTTCAGAACCTTCTGGAACCCGGAAGGACCCCGTTAACGACTTGATGAACCCACAAGAACCGGTCTAGACACCTTACAGAAGCGCTGTTGGTCCCTCAATCCTCAACCCTAAACCCTGAACCCTAAACCCTAAATCCTAGACTCTAAACCCTAAGCCCTGAACCCTAAACCCTAAATCCTAAATCCTAAACCCTAATCCTAAACCCTAAACCCTAAACCCTTAGCCCTTGCTTATGGAAGCCTTGTGTGTCAGAGGACCTGCTCGACGATCGCTTCAACGGCGGAAGCAGCGAACTTGGTCTACTTGGAGAATGTCACCCTTCCGTTGGAAGCTCAGAAAGCCCTTGTCGCGGTCATACTGGCTTTACAGGGAGGTTTTACGGAAGGTTTTGCAGGTTGTTCATAGAGTTTTGAATACTTGTCGGGGCTTCAGTATCCACAGTCATAAGTAATATTGCTTTCTGTACAGTAAGGGTTCTTTATAAGTTATAAAGGTTCCTTGTTGGGTTCTACCTGTGTCAGGATTGGTGGGTCCTCACATGGGCACTCGACCGGGTAAGCCCTCCCCGCCCCCTGAAGATGCTAGCTGAAGCCTATCACTGCGTTCAGGTTTTGCGGTTTAGGGTTTAGTTTTTTTTTGGTTTTGTAGTGTGTTTATGGTGTTGGGGTTTTCAGGATCTTTGAGGTACTTTGGGTAGATGAGGTGTTATGAGGTTTGGGAAATCTGGTGTTTCAGGATTTCAGGGTGTTGGGGTGTGAGGATTTTTGGGCTGGCAGGGTTTTTCAGGCTTTGGGGCTTTAAACCCTGAGCCCGAAGCCCTAAACCCTAAGACTGCGCTTATTCGCGAACATGAGTAGTGCTGTTGCGCTACTTCAAAACTCCTGGGACCCTGCGTGCGTACATTCCGCCTAAAGTTCCCGCGTTGCAAGATCCATGGCATAGATAAAGTCATTGATTTGATTGTACAAATTACACACATATGTACATATATACATACATACATACACATATTATGTGCATGAGTGCAAGACGCTGGTTCTGGAAACTTGAGCCTAAGCGTTCAGAGAACTCGTTGCCAAAGACTGTTCTTTTGACTGTAAAGGGCTCTGGAACATGGCGTGAAGGGACATGGGGCCCCAGAGAATAACCCTTAATTACGGAACCTACCCTAGCTTACAACTGGCTGAGCATTACGTTTAAACGTATATTCCTTAATGATCCCTAGCTAAGAAAATACACCTTAAACTAGACGGGGCTGAATGTTATGTTTAATAAAGATATAGTCCTTAACTAAGGGGTCCTAACCCTAAACCCTAAACCCTCAACCCTAAACCCGCCTTGGGTGTCCGGGAAGGTACACAGCCGATCAGGAGCAATGGAAAGCAGAGGCTCGGGCGGCTTCTGATGCAGGAGTTTAGGGCTTAGGGTTTAGGGTTTAGGGTAAAGCCCCAAAAGACGAAACCTTAAACCCATAAAACACCCTAAACCCTACATTTAGACTGTTACAGGATGGGGGGCAGTACCCAGCCTACTGGAGGTTCATGGGTAGTTACAAGCGGGGTTATAAGTAGGGTAACTATAGTTAGAATCCATATTAGGGGACTCATAACCCCACGTATAACTACCTATGAACCTCCAAGTAAACCCCATATTGGGGCCTGGGGTCGTTTTTTCCAGCCGCGGAGGTGTCCTCGGCGGTGCAGACGCTCATCACCCCGCGCCCGGATGTGACCCTCGGACGTGGGGCAATATTGACGACAGTAATGGTAGGGGCCTACATAATTACCAATACTTTTTTGGGGGTCCTTACCAGAGTTATTACCATAAAGTTTTCAAATTTAGAGGTTTAGTATAGGGGCCTAAAGAATTACCTCTACTATTTTTGGGGGGTTCCCTGTTATAATTATAGTATAGTGGGCCCCAAAAACTCTCTTCTCATTGTTAAGGCCCCTACATTTAGGGTTTTAGGGTCTCAGCTTTGGGTTTAGGGCTTAGGCTTACATTTGCCCGTCCAACAAACTAGTCTAATTACGATTGAGGCCTCTGCATTCAGCAGTGCTTTGGTCCCTGCGAGGCTAGCTGGGTGTTGGGTTGGTAGAATTGGGTTTTGGGTTTAGGGTTTAGGGTTTAGGGTTTAGGGTTTAGGGTTTAGGCTTCCTCTCAGTGGTATCGCTGGCACAAGACTGCAACTGCGCAGGGGTGCTCTGCAACTTCAGAGGCTCAGCGTCCGGGCGTAGGCGCACCAACATGACTCGCTAAACACAAGGTCCCCCCATAACCGAAACCCCCTAAACCCCATACCCTAAACCC